GTATTAAAATATCCGCAATTTCCAATTTTCTCGAGCAACCAAATCTACCATAAACGACCTCGCATCTTCAGAAATACTAATTACACACGTATAACACATTTCGTGTACAATATTCCGCTCACCCAGAACGGCATGTCCACCTTCATAATCCGCGAAAGAACGTTTGACAAAAGCAATTTGAAATAAAAACTTAAAAGAAAAAACAACAAGAAAAAAGAATGCATAAGAGAGATTGGAAAAGACCGCGCGGCGATTAAAAATGTTCCATTCCATCGTGTCCATCTGGCTGTGGCGCGAAAATCGATTTCGACCGGCGTTTGGTACAGGAAACGCGACTATTGTCCTCTCCCGTCCGCGATTTCGACTTAAATTACGCGCCGCTTCAATTTCATTGAACGCCGATCGCGTTGGTAAATCGGATAATCAACGGCCAACGAAACAGGTAACGCGACGAGCGATCGACAACACGATAGCGCTGGTAATAGGAGTAACTTTATCTCACTTCGCGGCATTTTGTTTCCAACTTGTCCCGCGCGAACCCCCGATGACCTGTAAACTGATAACATCCCCCCGGAAGATACAGCGTGACCCCTTATATTACGCATTATGCCACCCGTTCCGGGCGCGGGCCCGAAACACGGCTGGTTCGCAATTAAGTTTGCTGTCTGGAGCTATTGTCTGCGCGGCGAATAAATTTTTCGGGGACACCGGGGGGATCGGCGGGGTGTCAGGTGGAAATTAGCAGCTTGTGCGGTTTTGTGCGTGGTTTAAAGGTTAAGTGGGAGCGCGATGGTATAGCCGGTGGAATAAATATAGCGGGGTCGTAAATTAAGGGGCTATTCCACTCTATAGGGTCGAGTGTCGTTTTGTACGCCTTCTTTGAGATTTTTTTACGAAGAAACTGTGAGACTTTTTACTATCGATTTTTTGCACACGTATTCAGTTACGTTTCAAGAATATTCGCTATTTTTTTTTTTTTAGCGAAAATAATTCAAATTGACTGAATTACAGGTTACTCGGTGTGGTCACTTTAGGAAAAAGTGTCCTACCGGCTGACACGATTCCGGCCATTCTACTTATCCCAAATGAAAAAGTCAAAAAGATGGTTGATTAGTATGAGTGTGGTGGCTATGGTGTGAGCCAAGATAAAAAAATATCGAAAATTTAAAAAATTAGGGCACTTTGAAGTTTGAACGTCCATTTTCTCCATTTTTTTCGTGCTTGGAAAATGCAACGAAAGAAGACAGAAACTGTGCAGGCGCGGTGAATGCATAATACGGCTCTGATTGATAGTTCCTGTCCTTATTTTCGCATATATCTCTCAATTGCTCTATCAGAACACTCGAAACACGTTTACTCTGACTCCCGTCCGATTTTCCAAGCTCGCTATATTTGTTCCATCGGCTATACAGTCCTAAATGCGGCAACACTAATCGGTCCCACAGTTCGAGACTTTAATTTACGACCTGGCCATATCGTGGTCCGTACTACACGATTTGAAAAGATGAACAGGTTAAAAGCTCTTCAACGGGAACATTCGATTTTCGTAGATTTATGTTTCTTTTTAAGTAAGCAATTTAAAGGTAGCAATATTTAGAAGACAGTACACCACAAGTAGAAAGACTTCGAAGATTAGGATGTGTTTTTACGAGATTGAGTAAAATGGTTAGAACTGCAGGTTTATTTAAAAAATTTAGACATCGTGTTTTTTTTTCAAGTGTAACGTACATAGAATCAAGTGTGAATGAAATGTTTTAATATACGTGAAAATGAGGTGTATAATATTCATAGACTTTTATGCACACAGTGACGAGCGATAACGCAATTTTTGTTTTTAATGTAGAACAGCTAAAAATGATCTTGTATGCAATTTATGTATTTTAAAATTACATTGTTACCTTGGTTGTTTTAAACGAAACACGAGAACTTTTTAGATTTTATTACAACTGTGGATTTATAACGAAGATTGTAGATATAAGATACACTCGTACAGTTAATAATTAGAAAAATTCAGCGACTTAGATCTCGTCTTCGTGTTACATTAATTTCCCCATATTTTTTCTAAAATTGATTTACAGTCTTGTCTAAGAGTCTTCAAATCTTTACTCCTAAAGGAGCGTAGTTATGGCGTGACAGAGTTGTCGAAACAATCAGAACAAGTTACTGTAAGGTAAAAACGGTCAGGATAACGGTGGTGAGCGGTGGAATAAAATATAAACGTGGGCGGTTAAACAGGGTGAATCCTTGTATTTTGAACTATACTGCACGAGTGCTGATACAATTCTGTCCTTCCTCAAAACCCTAGTCAAGAGGACCCCCTTGACAATATGGCCTTTCTTAGCCTTGAGGCAAAACTATCCCTAGGAGGGGGAAACGCAGCAGAAGACTGCACATGGCCCACTCAAGCCTTCGCTTTTTGGACTTTTCTAACATTACACTTAAATTTTAATAAAATCTAACATACTCCTGATAAAATTTATTAATAAAGAAAATTTTCATAGTCGCGAAAAATATGACGAATTTAACGTAATCTCTAGTACTCCGTGATAACTCAATTTCACCGGTTTTTAAACTTTACATATTCAGATCGGACTACCTGTATTTAATATTTGCGACATTTTTCTTTTTACCGCACATTGCTATCTCGTTTCTGCATTTTCCTATTTTTATCTCGCCAACGGATTGATAAATTAATACCGGGGTTATTCAGTTTCAATCTGTGTTCGACGCATCTGATGTGACACGCTTTTCAATTTCACTTTTCTCGGTAGAATTTAATGAACCGCCCGTGAACAATAGCCAGAAGATCAATGTCTTCATAATCACGTTGCACATTCAGGAATCAAACGCCAGTCATTGCCTTCCTGTCTACAAACTAACGTTAAACACGTTCACAGCACGGCCGCATCCGCTGACAATAAATACAGACGGATCGATATCTGTTGCACGACGCACGGATACCTCTGAAAGGAACACGATACTTCATCGATATCGCAATGACAGTGACGCTTTGTCATTGTTAAAGTTGTGCCTCGCCATACAGCAAAAGATTCCTTGAAATAAAACGAGTGAAAAAAAAAAAAGAAGAAACGAAATTACTCGAACGACGTGACTTTTTATCGACTGAAATCGCAATTTTACATTTCGCACTTCGGTAACGTTAAATCTTACATTTCTATTATTTTCTTATTATTCTATATGTAATTTCTTGTATTTCTATTATTGTTAAGGAATTTTTGTAATTTTTCAATTGATCTATTATACGAAACGAAGATTCAGACAGAATGACTACGAGAACTTGATATTTATTTGGACACTAATTATCAAGTCCTACTCATAAAATTTCTCACAGATCAGCTGTTTGATAAGACTATCGTAAACTTACTTAAAGTGACCAGATTTATTTAATACAGTACTGATTTTAAAGGCACCGTACTGATTTCAATTTTCTACTGAAATACACTACCGGCCAAAAGTATTGTGCACTTAAGTACCAAGCAATAATTACATTTAATAATAAAAATGTAGACAGTTTGATGTATTTATTTCGTCCATTTTATTTCACTACACTTACAAAATACAGTAAATTCTCTACAAGTGTCAGTCAGTTTGGATTCTACAAGTGTCAGTATAGATGGTCCTACGCCTAGGTTGCGTCATTGCTGTCAGTCAAGCGTGTAACGCTACACCACTCGGTTTCTTTTACGAGATTTCACGGCTCACAAATCATAATAGAAAAATATAATTTCTTTAATTTTACTTTTTTTCATCTGAAATTTGTTTAACATGTTGGTGAGACTTTTCTGATGAAAATGATATCAAATACGATATAATTTGAATAACATTTACTTATTAATACTTATTGAGTAATTAACTTAATGTCGGCCTGCCTCCACGTAAAAAAAAAAAGTAGGACCGATTCTATAAATTATAAAGCATAATACTATAATCCTATGCTTAAAATGTATTTTCTTGTGGCCGCCTGACAGCAACCTGTAAATCTGGCGTGACATTGAACGTGTTAATAAGTAAATGTTGTTCAAATTATGTCGTGTTTGATGTCATTTTTATCAGAAATATCTCATCAATATGTTAAGAAAAATTTCGGGATAAAATAACGTAAAATTAAAAAAGTTGGTATTTAAATCGCTTGGTTGCCTCGACTCATGTTTCACCTTATCTTTTATTCGCTGTCCTTGTCTACGTTCGGCAAACTACAAAGGCGGGCGCGAGGCTCGAAAACGTAATCCCTGACTCTACAAGTGTCAGGTTCAGATTCCTTGCGGACTGACACTTGTGGAGAATTTACTGTACATCCTTCTTCTTCTTTATCAAAAATCGAACCGAATTTGCCATCAGAAAATCTGACCAGTTTAGGCACCCCGTCCACCAAACTGTACCAATTAATCCACGCAATAAGCCACACATAATCCCGACATAATCCTTCCGGTATTACAATCATTCGACACACTCGCTCGCGCAAAAATCAATAACCAAATACCCACGATTAGAAACTTACTTAGCAGATTTCCCATATACCGACCCGCTTACTTAGCCCACCAAACCTCGTCAAACCTACCCAAAACAAATTCATCAACAAGCAAGTTACTTTAGCTACCCTAACCAATCATCCCATAAACGAACGACCACAATCTGGTAGCATGACGCAGTGATCCAGCCGACGCGGTCTTCTTCAACGAACGTTAAACCTGACGCTTTAACATCTAACGCTGGCTTTCCACGGCGACACAGCCGTCGCATCGATCGCGCGGGGGAGTATTATCTCTGTGCAAAACGACTACACCAGCAACTCTCCATACCTCTGTCCTCCCTCTTTCCACCCACCCCTTGTTCCTCCCCGTTTGGTGCACACGTGCAGGAGCAACGGCTGCGATGAAATCTGTGCGCACGAACGATGCACAAACCACGGTATCTGATCGCCGACGCGTTTTAATGCGTGATTATCGTGCGAACATTGTATCGTTTGATTGTTTTAACAGCGCCATTCGGCTGACCGGTCCATTCATCACCATGGTCTACAGTATGATAACCGGGGATATGTTGACCTTCGGGATAATCTACATGGTGGTGCTGTTCGGTTTCTGCCAGTCGTTCTACTTTTTGTACAAAGGCTTCCCAGGAGTGAAATCATCCCTCTACAGCTCCTATCACTCGACCTGGATGGCACTGTTTCAGATAACCCTCGGCGATTATAACGTAAGCTCACTCTCTCTCTCTCTCTCTCTTTCTCTTTCTCTCGCTCCTCTCCACGACAATCGCCATAAATCAGCGTTTTATTGTCGCGGTTATTTTCTACTATCGCGTGTGTGCACACGTGCACACACATGCCCTCGCCGCGTGCTACGCCTTTTTCCGCTTTAATTTCGCCCACTGGCTTTCTCGTTTAGTTCAGTTTTGAGGCGAGCGCAGGCGGATTTATCGATGGTCGAAGGAGAACGAAACGCGGGGAATTCGCTGCTCGAGAGTGTACCGTAGCGAAGAGATGGAATCGGGTGCATAACGGATTATGGAACGTTCTCGGTTTCGGATATCGTTCGGGGGATAGTAGGATGGAGTGTAACAGTTTGCACGACTTTTTCGTCCTTCAAGATTCTTTTTTTTTTTTTGTTGGAACGCGAAGGGAAGTGTGCAACGAGAAGTATGTTTGAATAAGATAGTACGTGGATTTTTTAATCTATATTTTAACACTGGAAGTAACGGCTGGGTCAAAAATGACATTAGCGAATTTACAAAAGAAAGGGAATGTTTGATACTGACAAGTATCATGGTTTTCTGCATCTATACTTCCATTTGTACGGATATGAATTTAATCTTTCAATTATGTTTTAGTTAGATAAAAATTCATTTGTAGAAAGTCGCTAATGGGTCACTTTTGACCCGGACAGCCGTTCCAACGTTAAACCACGTATCTCGAGGCGCTGCAGAATATTTTTAATTAAAGGAATTTTGGATATTTATGAAAGACGATTAAATGTTACCGTTTGATAAATTTCAATTGTAAGGTCTCAACAGTTATAGTGAAAAGAGACCGACTTATGGTGTAGTCAGTCACAAGTAGAAGCAATTGAATGATATTGTGCATACATAGTTACTCCCAAAAATATTAGGACGCTAGATAAGCTTGCTTTTCCAAATAGTGACGGATTAAGTTGATGTTCTTTCATAATCAGACATTTATTGTACTTTAGGACTGACACGGCAATACACGAAATACCAAATCAAATATAATCAAATTAATAACACCCTGTATATTTTTTCTTCATATGGCACTGTACACGTGTTCAGATTAGAACCAATCAAAATATGCGAAGAAAACACTAAACCATCAAGTCTAAAGAAAATTCAGCATCCCTTTCGCAACAATAATTTATTCAAAACGATAAATACACTTCTCTGTCTCACATAAATAAATTTCTCACTTCTTCATTTCATTTCACACGTATTATCCCTCACTCAATCACGTCTCCCCCGTGTCTATTACTTTTTAACGTTCACCGAACTACCGAAAGAGAAACCCCATCGTTTGCACTTACCATCGAAATGAATAGAATCGTTCCACTCATTTCCGTCGCCCTACGGGGAGAGACTTTCAAAAAAGATTCCACGTAACTAAGAGCATCGCGAACCAGGAGGAGAAACTTCAGCAACTGACTACCTCACGAGTATACATATGATACAAAAGTTCATTGCACAATGTTAATGTTTCCCATAATATTCCTCGCGGCATAAAGGAGAGTGGGGTTATAAAGGGAAGAATGGTCCTTTGAAACGTTTGACATTCTAAGTCGTTCGTCGTTCAGAACAGATAAAGGCTCGTTTGTAACTTTTGCCTGAAAAGTCGCGAGGATTGTTACAAGCTGTATGGCGCTGCTGCTCGGTTGCTGTTGTTGTGTGAACGAGGAAAAAGTTGAATGACGAGAAGGATCGGGCAATTTCGTAAATCGTGCCAGCATGTCAATGGAGAGCGCTACTCCCAGCGGTATTCGCCCGTGTGATTTTTTCGCCGCGGTTTCCGCGAAAGGGTTAAGAATATAAACGCCGCTGCTCGTAAATCAGTTTCAATCAGCGGTATACCTGCTCGTACGTGTTTCTTTTTGTCCCTCGATACGACCGGTTTCGATCCACAAGAAACTGCCACGTCGTTAGAGTGACAGATTCTTTTTTTTTCTTAGAGTGAATCGTTCGATGTGTTATCTGCTTCGTTATCCGGTCGGGTTAAATCGACGTTCCTTAGAATTACGGTGAAATATGTATTAAGCTGTTGCAAAACTAATTTCGCGGATGTAAAAATTTCAATTTGTCTTTTCGATCTCGTTAAATATTTCTAATTAACGGATGGTTGTATATTCGGACCACAGATATAATGATAAACATATGATATTTGTATTAAAAATGTCAAATAAAATCGTTTTTCTAATTTTTCTATAATTTATGAAAGTACGAAGGCTTTGTAAAATAAACTTGGCTAGCTCGTAAATAAAACACGCTCGTAATGTATATTTTTTAACGAAGCTTCAAACGATCTATGTTTATACAACATTTTTTCCTTATTTATACCTGTAAAACATACCGACAAAGTTTGACAAAGTTTGATCAGAAAAAATCGAGACACCCTGTATATTTGTCGCACTACGAGATTCTAGACTGACACGTTCTTTTCATTATCTTAATAATTTTTTAATAACTGTTTAGGTTTGCTTCACGTTTAATCACTCACGTCCGTGTCTCACACGTGCTCAACTAATCGTCCAATAACTGCAACTATACTTCATTATTTTCTTTCATTGTCCAGATTGCCTTATCCTTTCTATTATGGCAAAACGCGTGAGTTACAGCATGGGAAACTTATTTCTATACCTACATCTGAGATATAATTTAACATATAAGTTGCATAATTCTCACTTAAAATATTTGATCTTCCAGGTAAAAGATTGAAATTTCCGGCCAGATCGTTATCTCGCACATTTCCTATCCGTGTTTGTCTCAAGTTTACAATTTTCTTATCGAAAAGCTACTAAAATTGGACGATAAAGTAGACGACAATTCTGGTTATTGACACAAGGGTTAAAATAAAATAAAATTGATGATTTTTGGCCTGTGGCGACCGCCACGATAAAGTAGACGACAATTCTGGTTATTGACACAAGGGTTAAAATAAAATAAAATTGATGATTTTATACGAGGCGAAGGATAATCGAGGCGAAGAGTCGAGAGATGTTTTTCCAAACATCTCCGGGTTTCTTCGTCCTCGAGGACAAGAGTATCGCCTTGGCAATGCAGGCCCGCGTCCCCACTTCCTGGGACTTTCCCAGGGGAAAAGGGGCTACTCAAGGGAGCCCCGAAAAAGGCACGAGGCTTTTTCTACACGCATCGTGTCGCCTATACATTAAAAATAGTTTCAGCGTTATCTGATTTAAATAAATATATATTTCTGTTAAGCAACCGAGGAGAAGGGTAGGAGAGACGAAGGTTAATAAAGCCGTACTCTACACACTTTCAAACCTCGTTTTACTTAGGCGCGGCACGCGTGAACCTTACTCGCTAGCGCAAGTAAAAGCGATGAATACAAGATCATCCTTTTCGACTGTCCCTGTTTCCGCCGGTCTTTCGGGTTATATGCCCCTGTCCTTAGACAAGGACAGGGAGCAAGCCGCGCTACCGAAAAGCACGGGACGGGAAAAAGCGCGGGCGTAAAAGCGCGCGTAACAAAAAGGGCGCCAACTTTCTGGCGAGAGTTGGCTGGTCAGGAAAAACCCTGACCCGTGTGAATCTGGCTACCAGATGCGAGAACCGACCATAGCCAGACTCGCACGGCCTTAGCGGAGGGCTTTACAGCATTCATGGGCGTAGCTACACAACCTTAGTGTAATAATTATTTTTACACCACGTCACTTCTAAAGGCCCATCAAGTTGAGAAAAAGGCGAACGTTAAGGGGTCGATAAGTGTCCTAATACTCAGGACCGAGAGTGCGCCTCCAAACACCCGGAAATGAGTGGAATTATAAGGAAAAAGTGTCCTAATTCTCGCGCCATTTATTCGAAAGAAAAGAATAATTTTCTAATACCATTCACCTCGACGATACCGCGGTAAGAGCCTCTCCACTCGCGAAAATTCAATCTCCGAGCACCTAAGGGTTCTGAATCCCACCCAGTACGAGCCGTTTGCAACCAAATCGCCACGTTACAAACAAGATGAGAAAGGAACGAAGAAAGAAAGAAGCCACGTCTGGTTCTCCTTCCATCGTTGGAAGTGCGTTCAAACGCGAGAATCCATTTTTAATGGTAACACCGCGCGAAGCTAGTGGCACCGGTAGCAGCGGTATACATAGATCGATAGATCACGAGTCGCGGGAGGCGGCACGCGCCAGGAAAAATTGGCCCGACCCGCGGCGCGCGGTTTCGCGCGTTTCAATTAATCGAATTTCACCGATGAAATATCAAGACAATTCGGAACGCGCGCACTGTATCCCCGGCTAATTGAATTACATTCAACGATCCGCCCTTCCTACCCCCGCCCATCCTCCGCCCTTTTCACCCTGGTGTCGGTGAAAAATAACGCGCAACGCGCCGCGCTCCGCTGAGATCTCGCATGTCTCTCGCGTAATTAACGAATCGATTATACGCTCGCGGATAGGAACTTTATTCCACCGGCGAAAAATCTGCTCGGGGCATTTACAAATCGGACGATCCATCGTTGGATCTTTGAATTATTCGAGTAAACGTGAAGAATTTTTCCTGGCGATTCGAAGGAACTTTGGAGGATTGCTTTTTATTCGGTGCAACGTTCAACTGGAGGAGAAGTGTTTTGAGAAATTGTGCTTAACTTTGTTGGCGTTCTTTGAGAAATTTAGCGACTCGTGAGTGAATATTGTAGGAAAAATTGTCAAGTAAGAACTTTGAAAGTATAGAAAAAGAAATTCGATCGTTGGCTTAATACTGCGATCAAATATTCTCAATATGCAGGGTTGGCTATTTAACTCCACGTGAGTTCAGCAATATGTGCCAACATAATGAGAGAGGGGCATTATGTACATACACTATCAATTACACAATTTACGTCAATATTGAATCTGCTATTAATGCTTTATAGATTTGAAATTGATGCTGATGAATTTGCGATTTATCTGAGTAATAAAAAATTCGTTAAAAAAATACTGAAAGCTGCTATCACTTTTCTGGAAATTTTTGCGTAACTTCCAAAGCACAGTGATACCAAACTTTTATCCCCTACTGTACGTATAATACTTTCTTTGCGTTTAAAGGCAATTCGAACATTTAAAGGTCTTCGCGTTTTTTAAATAGAATGTTATGTATCTAAATAACGTTAATTTCTGAATAAAAGAGCGTTACAATTATTACTTCTAAATACAATACTTAATACGATTAATGAAACTGATATTATTAGAGATTAATATTTATTAGATATTTAAGAATACGAAAAATTTTCGGTCCAAATGATACATTAAATACCAAAGAAAGAAGAATTTGTGCCTTGATTTTAGATCAAAATTGACCAAATTTCACACAAAGGCACACATTTGCGTTTACTATTCGGACAGTGTCGCAAAAAAGTTGAAACGATGAATTCCACAGTCTCTCCGTAACTCTGTACCATTCTATTATCTTTATAGTTCACGCGAGCCACAACGATATAATCGATCCGTTTAACAATAGATTCGACCGACAAACTGATCCATCCTCGAGGGCCTTCGGCAAATTCGTCAATAAAACGCGCAGGAACTCGTACGAGCCAAAACGGATCGACACTCAACACGTCGGTTTCGCGCGTAAATAACCGGCGGACAGATAAATTCCCAGTCGCGTTATAATCGTTGAATAAAATTCCCGTAACGGTAAGT